GCAGCAGCAGCAGCAAAGTGGCAGTGGAAGTGTTAATCAAACCATGGGCTCTCTTAGTTAATGCACAGTCACTGCTGGTGGATCAGATAGTAAGCAGGGCTTGGTGGGGAGGGTTTCTGAGCTGTTTAAATATGTTACAGCTTTGCTTTTAAAGTAGAAGAGCTCGGATTAATTGAGTAAGTGGCACTTAAGAGATTGCAGGTTAGGAGGATGCAGAGTGTGGCTAAACACAGCTTGGGTGTTCGCTGCCTTTTTCCTCTTTAAATCCACTTTCCCTGGAGCTGTGGGGTGAGGACCCAGCAGATCCACTGCAGGGGTCATTGCCAGTGAGCTGAGACGTGCAGCTGTTGCCATGCTTTGATCCCAGCAGATAGCAGGAGAAGCAGGCCCAGTGCTGGTGCAAACTCCTTTTTTACTCAGAACCCCCTCTGTGTGAGCCCAGTCCAGCTGTTTGGGCTGCCAGGAGGGGCAGGGAGGGCTGGTACAGCACCCCCATGGCAGATGGTACCTGCTGAGTCTTCTTTCTGGCCAGGTACAACCTATTCCCTGTTTTCCATTTCAGTGTCCAAGTGTGCTGGAAATGCAATTTTTAAAGGAGCTATTTCCTCCCCATGCAGCAGAAACTCTCCAGAGCTGACACCTTCCCTCTGAGCTTGCTTGCCTTGTTTCCTTGCCCATGGAGGGGAGTGTGTCTCTACCTCAGCCTTATCCAAACAACTCACCTGGTGCTTTAACTTGTCCCTCTGTCATTAGTTCATCCAGGAAAATCCTTCCAGGACTTTCTGATTGGCATTTTGGAAGCCTCTCTTCTATCTCAGTGCTTTGTCCTTTTCTTCACATTTGGCCACGCCTGGTGCTCATGCCAGGATGCCACAAACAGCCCGATCTCTCTTCTTCATTAGGGCTTTTTTTTTTTTGGGTTGTTCCAGGGGCAGTTTTTGACCTGGATTCCCTTCACCATGAGGGGAAAGAGTAACAGAACAAACCCTCAGGGAGCTGCTCCCACTTCGTGGCCTGTCCAGAGCTGGACACCTTCTCGTGTTTGCAATGGGGATTTAGGGGCAAACATTACAGGAACTCCTTCTTTAGAGACTTAAGCCCATTCCAAGGATAGTTTTTAGAACCTTTTTACTCTGCTGCACCCCCAAAAAAAGTGGAGTAGTCTGATGGTGCCCAGTGGCTGCTGAGCCAGAGTGGTTTTTCTGTGAGTCCCTTTGGAAATGGGTGATTATTTTTTCTGTATCACCCTCTTCTTGCTCTCTCCTCAGCCTGTGCTCGTGATCTCCTGAGGGAACACGTTGCAACACTTTGTTCTGTGCTGAAATCAGACCTGGGACGTTCAGGGCTGGTGCTCATAAACCAGCAGTGATGGAGCAACACGAGGTGCAGGTTTTCTGGCTTTGGAATGGGCTCTGTTCTGGCTGCAAGTGGAAAGTATCTCATTTGGGAATGCTGAAACATTGATCTCTAGTGCTAGAAAATTGCTTTCTGTGAATTTCTTGTGTTTTTTAAACTTACCTGGCTTTGAAATGTGTTAAAAATGCAAATTTTTATACTGCTAATTGGGCTATTTTAACAAGACCTAAGATGGCATAAATGGTCTCCAAGATGGATTTCTTCATTTTTGTTTTTATGGAAAGCTGTAATTCAGGAAGTGATGGGCTGGTTTAGTGAATTCTGAGTGAAATATATAAAGCTTTCCTTTCAAAGCTGTCTAATTCAGGCGTGGGCATTCAGAATGAGATCTTTCCATCCTGTCTAATTTCTAACTGTCTTAATTTTTGATCTGCCATAAGAGGGATAACAGAGAAGGATATCACTGATTTCATCCTTCTGCCTTACCAGAACATAAAAGTTCAGACTTTTGGGATCATTAACTAAACTAGATCTGTCTAAGGCTGATTTGACCTAGATTATCCAAATTAAGACCGAGATTACTTGACTAAAGCTGAATTTTTCTGAAGTCCCATAAGTGCTGGAAACACAAATCAGCTCTTAAGTGACATTTGTGCTTTTCCTCGTGTCTGTCAGTGCGACTGACATTTAGGGCACCCTTAACCATATGATTTTTATAAGTTTCAAGCACTGAGGCGCCCTTATTAACTTCAGTGATGCTCAGCCTGCATGGAAATCAGACTAAATATTTAGGACATCGCTGCGGGCACGCAGATTTTAGTCAAGCAAAACTGTCCGGGTTCTTGTCTCGCCATCACTATAACACTCTTTGCCAGCAGGTGGGGTTCCAATCCTGTTAAACAGACCTGGGAAAGCTCGGCCGTGAGCTGTCGCTCCCCTCGCCCTCCCATCCCCAAGCTGGCCACATCTGGAAATGTTTGATTTGATATAGTGTCGTTTTACATTGCAGAAATGAGCGTAAGCGGTTTTTTAACCCACCAAGTGAGAAACGTGATCTGGGTTTTACTACCGACCCCTTAAATAAAAAACAGATCGCTTATTAAACCATTATCTATCAAGGATATGGAGAGAGTTAGAAATATCCCAGGATCAGAATCAAAATTGAAACGGACACTTTTCTGTCTACTGTCCGACCCTGGCAGGGTGGTGCAGGAGTGCAGAGCTCAAATCCCTCACCGGAGGAACAACAAACGCAGGGAGACAGGAGAAGGGAGCAGCTCAGCTCCCCCAGCCCAGCCTGGGCTGGCTCTGACCATTCCCACCCAAAGCCAGGGCACTGCTGATGGAAAAGTGCAGAAATGTGTTATCGTGTGCTGCTCGTTATCGGGGGGGATAAAATCTTCCCCGATGAGCTTGTTGAGCAGCACTGGATCAGGGAAGGTCAGAGCATCCCAACTGCCTCCTCTGGGCAGGCAAAACACGGCGAGAGGAGCAAACTGCCGGCCAGGAAAATGGATGTCAGGAGTGCTGTGCCCTTTGAATGGGCAGTGTGGAACCCTGGGCGAACTGCACTGCATCTCCAGCCCTTTGGGTCCCAGTTTAAAGGATGTGTTCAAAAATGCAGCTGATTCAGTTGTTTCCCCCCCTGTTTGAGCGATGCTTCCTCCCTGATGAGGGAACGTCCCACTGGCTTTGGTAGCAAGGGCAGAAGGACTTGGCTCCCTGTGCATTATGACAGTTGGCATCTGAACCGAAGCGAAGGTCGGATCTGAGATGGATTTTTGCCATCCTGTTGCATTTAAAAGCTCGTGTTACTGTGGCTGTGTTACACTGCACCACACTGGGCCTCGTGGACGTGTCCCAGAGCTGCCTCCTGTAACTGTACCCAGCACAAATGCACCACAATGCCCTGCAAAGGGCTATTTCATGCCTGCCAGCCAACACCTCGGCAGGGATTAAATCCACCAAAAGTAGGTATGTCCAATTGTTCCTTTGGATCAGCAAATAATTCATTACCCACATTATCTTTTTTTTTTGGAAATGTCACTCCATGTTGTAAATCACCGCTGCAAATGCTAAGGCAGGGATTTGTTTTTAAAGAGAAAATTAAATTTTAGGGCCAATTCACACAGTAGTTTTCCCCTCGAAGCAGAGCTGCCCATCTCCAAAGGCAAAATGCACTTGGAGGATCTCCTTCCCTTCAAGGAGTGGTTCTCCACGGGCACAGCTCCTGCCTGGGCATATGGGATCATGGAATATCCTGAGCTGGAAGGGACCCCCAAGGATCATCCAGTCCAATCCCTGGCCCTGCACAGACACCCCAACAATCCCACCCTGTCCCTCAGAGCATTGTCCAAACCCTCCTGGAGCTCTGGCAGCCTTGGGGCCGTGACACTGCCCTGGGGAGCCTGGGCAGTGCCAACCACCCTCTGGGGGAAGAACCTTTTGCTGAGATCCACCCTGAGCCTGCCCTGGCACAGCTCCAGCCATCAGATCCTGAGGGATAAGCACAGCAGCTGGAGCTCCAGCAGCTCCCTTCCTGAGAGCAGGGAGGTGACTCCATGGGGTCACTCAGGTGTGGGAGCTGCTGCCCTGGGAGGGGATGGCAGGTCCCTCCCACCCGTGTGGAAACAGGCTCAGAGAGGCAGGAGAGGGGAAGAGACAGCCTGTGGGTTTGTGTGGCAGCTCAAATTCCTGCCAGGGCACAGAGGAGGAGAGGGAGGGGGCCAGCTGTGCCCAGGCTGTGCCCAGGCTGTGCCCTGCTCCCCGAGGGGGTGAGAACCTCCATCCTTCAGCACAGCAGCTTTCCAGGCTCAGGGTGTGTTGTGGACTAAGAATTTCCTCAAGAAATGAGTTCTTGACACGCTGCTGAAACTGGGGAAAGATGTAATCCAGGTGACACCCTGTGCCTGAACAGCTTTTTTTGTTTTGTGGGGAAGGGAAGGTTGTGTGGAGAAATCCCAGCACCTGCCAGGATCTGAAGGAAGCCAGAGAGGGGCTGCTCATCAGGAACTGGAGTGACAGGACAAAGAGTGATGGGTCCAAACTGAAAGAGGGGACATTTGGGTATAAGGAAGAAATTCTTCCCTGTGAGGGTGGTGAGGACCTGGCACAGGTTGCCCAGAGGAGCTGTGGGGCAGGTCTGGGGGGCACATCCAGACCCTGTGGACAAAGCTGAGCAGTGGCCATGGCACAAAGGTGGCATGAGCCCACCTGGGGTCAAATTCCCAAAAGGGATAGAGGCACTAATGTCTGGATCACAGGATCACAGACTGGTTTGGGGTGGAAGGGACCTTAAAGCCCATCCAGTGCCACCCCCTGCCATGGGCAGGGACACCTTCCACTAGCCCAGGTTGCTCCAAGCCCCGTCCAACCTGGCCTTGGACACTCCCAGGGGTGGGGCAGCTACAGCTTCTCTGGGCAACCTGTGCCAGTTGCACATTAATGACACGTGTAATTAATCTCAGGATGTGCTTTTCCAAAGCCTCTGGGTTAATTCCAAAAGGAGGATGTGTACAGGCAGTTATTACCATTTAATTGCTGCTTTTAATAATGAGCCCAATCCAAAGCATTTTGTGAGTAGAAGGTGATGTGAAATATCCTGAATATCCTGAGCTGGATTCTCGAGAATCATCAAATCCAATGTCTCTGTGTTGGCCCTGTTGTTGTGGCATCATTCAAACTGATGGTTTGTTGTTGCTGGGAGTGTCAAGAAGCTGCATTTGTTGGGAATAAAGCAGGATTTATTTTCTGCATTAGTTAATGGCACTTCCTTCCCTCAGTCTGCATTAGAACTTGAGGGTACGAATCTCAAGTAGAGCAGCAAAACTCTTAGTAACACTTTAACAGGATTTATTAAGTTTGTTTGCTTGAATAAACCTCAGAATCCTCAAGCACTTTCTTCTCTGAAGATTAACAAGGAACTTGGTTTCCTGACACTGTGATTTCAGCACGTGATGGGTGTCTTTCTCCCTTCAGAGACCCCAACTTATATCTCTTTTTAGGTGGCACAAGAAGCATCAGTCCCAAAGTGTGTCCCTGTACTGGGAGTCCCCAAGCTCAGGGGTTACACAATATTCCTCCAGCAGGTCTTTAAGCCACTGCAGTCAAGTAGTGACTGTAGTCAAGTAGGTTCAAGAGATTCTAAGGGCACATAAATCTGTGTCACCAACACACACCAGCACAAATTTGCAGGATATTCACACAACACAAATGCTGCTATGTGCTAATTTTAGGAGCCGTTTTTACATCACCAAGAGTGAAAAACATCACACACCTTTACTGTGGGCATCAGTTGGGAAGAAATAATACTGTAATTCGTGTACTTGAAGAAAAGTTTATGGCTATTATTTAATGCCTGTTACAGCCCAGTTCCTATCTGTGTGTGGAACTCGTTTGCTCTTCATGTTTCTCCTCGTGCTTTCCATTCAGCCTCTGCCATCTCTCCCCTGTTGTTGGCCTTGCCCAGGTAATGAGCTGGTGAACATTTGGTGCCAATTAGGGGAAATTCCAGGCTACTGATACAGTTACAGATGTTGATTCTCAGAACTGTGTGAAATGCTGGGACCGGGTTCTGATCCATTCCTTCCAGAGGAGACCAACAGCAGTGACTTCAGCTGAGTCCCTCCTGATTTCCAGAGCTGAGTTATCCCCAATAAAGCCCCTGGCCCTGCCTATTTCCCTGGTCCAATTCTGTTTGCTTTGGGGGATTAATTATCCTGCAGCTTGGATAGGGCTGACTATGAGCTCCTGAACCAAATGCAGGTCTGAATATGCTTTACTAGTTATGAGAAAGACCCTTTGGACTGGGTTTGGAGCTTGGGATTCAGAGGTTGAATTCCAGCTGCAGTGATCCTGGGCAAGCTCCTAAACCTCTCCTCTATGCTTATCTATTCCACTTACACCACAGGTACCTTGTTTTCCTACAAAACCCATAGGTGCTGCTCAGGAATTTTGATTTTTGAAACACTCTGAATGCCTCCCGTTGAAACTTATTCACTTTGAACAATCTTTTCATGCCTATATTGAAAATATTAACAGCCTGTTTGTGGGGGGGAAAAAAAAAAAAAAAGAAGTTTCTATTTCCATCTGGAAAATGACTGAAGGGTATGTACGAAATTAGGGCTGGCCTGTTGGAACATTAACAGATTTGTCACACTCTTAGTCTCAGCTAATCCATGCAAAGTTAGGAAGAAAGCAACTCAGTGTGCATTTGGGAGCTCCTTCACTGGGTGAAGGGCTGTTCAGGATGCAGAGCAGGGCTGTCCCCAATGCCTCCCAAACTCCAAGATGCTGATTTGCACCTGGAAGTCACTTGTGAGGGAGATCTGCTGCATCTCATAGAAGACAACTGTTGTACATTTAAATCTGTCCCTGTTCAACCCAGCACAGATAAATGGAGTTCCACAGTGGGCCACTGATGGCAGGATCCCCAGGAAAAGGCATGGAAAGGGCTGTTGATGGATCTGGAAGTCTGAGAAAGGGAACCAAGCAGTTGAACACTGCACATGCACGTGGGACTGTGCTCCCTGTGCCCTGCCATGGCACCAGCTGAGTGCTCCTATTCCAGCCAGGTCTGGTGACAGAATTAGACTGAAATGTCCAAGTTCCAGTGTCTTTGTCACAGCTGAAGCCCCCAAAGTTTGCTGTGCTGTGGGTAAATATGCAAGAGGCCCAGTCCTTTGTAGTACCTTGTTCAACACTGATCAACCTGGAAAACAGGCAGAAATCAGGGAAGAGCAGTTCTCCTCCCTGACTTAGACTGGACCCACTATTTTGTCCAAACAGGCCTCTGTTTGAATTGAGATGGAAGAAGATGCAAAGAAATATGCACAAATACCTATAATTTCCTAATGCATATTCAATCAGAGAAGACTTAGGAAATCAGTGCATTTTGCTGCATTTCCCTCTGCATATACACAGTTAAGGATGGTGACTGTACTTCACACTGAAGCTGTGCTTTGGTCTCGGGGTATCCCTTTTTAATTTCTGTTCTGGTAGCATTTATCCCCAAACTTTACTGCCTGGAACCCGAGGTTTCTGCACACACCCCACACTTTCTGTGTGGAGCACAGGCCAAAAGAGACAAAGGCTGAAATGCAGAGGCTGCAGGAGGCTGGCACTTTTGTAGTGTGGGTTTTGTTTTCTGGGGTTTTTTTGTTGTTGCTGCATTCCAGTTCTGATCCTATCTGCTGTATCATAGCTTGGCTTCACTCCCTCATGGTTTGATGTCCCAACTTTTCCTTGTTAGCACCAGGAAATCATAAGCTTATAGTGAGTGATAGCCAGTAGGTCTGGGATTGATTACAAACAAAAATCCTAGATAAGATCATAAATGTAACCCATCCCTGTGATGTGATGGTATCAGGATTCAAGTACGTCTCAAAGTTGTTTCCGATTTTCAGCCACTTCATCTGGTTTCCATCCATCCCAGCTGGGAGCGAGGTACTCTCGTGGTGGACTCTAATCCATGCCAGCCTGGCTTGGAAGAAACCCTTGTTTCTGTTATTATTGTATTATAGAATGGATAGAAATGCTTTAGACAGGATGGACATTTCAAGGAAGATCAGTTCAAGCACTGCTGAGATAAAACTGGCTTGAATAAGATCACAGGGCTGCTTTCCCACCCTGCTGCCATCCCTCCCATTCCCTTCCTCGACTTTAGCTGCATCTGAACAAATGCAAAATGGTGTTTTAACACCCTGAAAGTCAGGGGACAAACACTAGAGACAAAATCTGTACTCGATAATTGCGGTCGGTCCCGGCAAACCCAAACTCTGAGATGTTTAATGCCCATTTCTCCATTTCAGGGAGGGATATTTGTGCTCCTTCTGGAACTGCTGCTCATCTGTTTCTACATTCCCCCTCCATCCGAGCTGCCAGCCTGCCCTGCCGTGAGTGAGTGCCGGGATGCAGGCGCTGTGCCCGGGAGCAGACCCAGCTCTCCGCCCTCGGCGGCGCCGCAGCCGATGCGCTCCCACATCCATCCCCTCGCCCCCTGGAACCAGGTGATTTAATGTTACTGTTGCTTTAACGGCCTCATCGCTGCTCTGGCTGCACAGTAGTTGTCTCCTGTGTGACTGTGCCTGGGAAAATCTATTACTGGAGTGCCATTAATCTGAGGCTGCCGCCTCTGGCACTTTCTGACTCTTCTATTTAATGGGCCTCTGCTTCCGGAGCTCTGGAGACCTGCTGTTTTCCTCTCTTGATCAGCTTTGTTTAATTATCAAAATATTTGATGCAGAAAATTGACATTAGTTGTGAAGGTTTCTGCCTTCCTCCTCCTCGCAGCCCTCCCTCCCAGCTCTGGAGTGACATTGAGATCTTTGCCTGTTCCACCTTCACCTTAAAACAGCAAATTTGGGGCAGGGCTGTTTGCTGCAGAGGCTGCATTAGTGAGCCCCAGGTAACTGCTGTGACCCCTGTGCTGGGCAGGGACAGCTGCACCTCTGCCTCCTTCCTGCAGCCAGGTGGCATTTCTGAAAAGCTGGGAGGAGAGGAGAGGAGAGGAGCCCTGTGGGTTCCTGGGCCTGGCTCCAGGCTGAGCTCGCTGGTAAATGAAGGCTCAGAGAGATTCAAAATCATGGAAGTCCCTTAGAGCTGAGATCTCCACCCTGGCTTCCTACCCTGTTGTCAGAGCAGGAAGATTTAGGTTTGCTTGCCCAGTGACCACATTCCTCATTCCAGGACTTTGGGATGGGCCCATGTGAACCAATATTTAATGCTAAAACAATGATCTGGGGGCAATACTGATACCATGGGTCAGTACCTTCACAAGTGGAGAAGACAAAGCTCTGCAGAAGTCCTGACATGAGCAGAACAGAAACATCATGGGTGAGAAGGCAAATTCAAATTGTTCCCACTGGGCATCCTCAGCTGCTGGAACAACTAACAAATGGAAAGGGTAGGTTTTCTGTGCCTGCAGTCTCTGGAATGAGACTGGATGCCACGTCCTTTTCCCAGCAGAACTGGCCAGGTTTAGTGCAGGGTGAGAGGGGAAGTGCCTGGGCTCTGCTGTTCTCCTCAGCCCAGAGGAGCTGGTGTTTCTCTTTGGGTTTTGAGTCCCTGCTCTTCTCAGCACTGCCTGGCTCCAGAGGCAGAGCAGCCTCAGAGAGGGTCCCAAAGCAGTGTCACAAGTTCTGTCTCTTGTTTCTGCTGCCTCTCTACAAAGAGCAATGAGCACTGACATGTGAATTACTGCAATTTGGGACTACTGGGAGACAAAGCAGGGGAGCTCTCTGTGTAAGGATGGAACACAAGTACCAGTGGTGTTTTTTCTCACGTGCCTCTTTGCTCCACAGCACTTGTCCCTCACTGCTGCTGTTACTGCCCTCTCTTTCTCCATTGCATGTGCTCTACTGTCTTCACAAGACCCAGGCAGACCATAAGGAAGGTGAGTAAAGTACAGCTGGGGCCCATAAAAGTTATCCAGTTCACTGTTGCAGTGACTTTCAGCAAGTAAATCACATTCCAGCAACAATTATCCTTGTTTACCAGTAAAACCTTACCTGCTGTTGTCACCCTCAAACTGGGATTAATTGCTGCTTGATGTTTGTGTAGTTTATTTGGGTCTCACCAGGTATATAAATATTATTTCCAATTCCCCTTATTAATTCTTTTCAAAGGAATTACATTTACTAATTAATTAATATTAGAAAGCTCTCAGAGCAGCTGGGATGTTTGAACAAAGAATGATAAAAATAACGTTTAATCGAAGCCAGAACATTTTGCAGAAGGATATGGGGTTTGATGAGGAAGCTTCTGGGCACCAAAGTGTTTTCTTCAGCCAAAGACAAAGGGACACACTTGGGGAACAGGTGACCAGACACAAGTGAATTTTGTTACTGCTCAGATGATTTTGTTTTCACCCCCTGCAAATACAAACAAGTCCAAGGTCCCCAAACCTTGCAGTGCTGTGTCACAGGATTGCTTTGCAGCTGCTTTTGTGCTCAGATGACCCTGCCAGGAGAAGTGTCTGGGCTGAATTCTTCCCTCCCTCCCTCCCTCCCAGCTGAAGTAGGGAACAGCCCCTGATATTGTGCAGCAGACAGCCAAGTGTTACTCTTTGGGCTCAGGTTTTTAGCAAATTGTCAGTAGAGCTTCCAATCTGCCCTAAATAAAGGGGCAAATTGATGATTCACAAACATCAACCAGTCAGCCACTAGTCCTTGGCTGAATAATAAAAAAATAAGAAGAAGAAACAAGGTTTGTGGGCTCTTCCCTCCTCCCCCTCCACTTTGCAAGGTTTAATCTTTTAAATTCTTCAACATCTCTCTTGCACTGCTTTTATACCTGGAACATTTTTGTTGCAGCCAGTGAAGTTTCCTGTGTGTGATTCTGTATTAATCCATCGCAGGCAGCTCTGGAGCCCTCGGATAAATGGTGAGTGCACTGCAAGAGATAACGAGATTTTGTGAATAACCTTGTGAATAACCACTGCTAAAAGATCAGTGATAAACCTCGTGCTGTGATAAAGCCAGCCTGGCAGTGGGTGTTCACTGCATCACAAATTCGGGCATAAGAAAAAGGAGCACCTCGAGCTTCATTTATACTGCAAATGAAAATAATCATAAAGATACAAACCACCAAGGTGCAAAACGAGTTTTCCAATTCATAAGCACAAGCCACCACGAGTTAAAACCTCTTGGTTTCTTCCCCGAGTGCCCCAGGCAATAGTTTTCATATATATTTCTCCATGGTCAGAAGTCAGAGCAGACCACTGCTATCTAAGACCTTGACTTTTTTTCCCTGACAGTTACAATTATTACAGCCCGGGGGACTCATTTTCTCAGTCTGGCCACCCGCTGACCCAGCCTGCAACCAGAATACACTTTAAAACAAACAAACACCAGCTCGGCTCCCCTCTCCTCCTCCTCCCCCCCCAGCTCTGGAATATTTTTACACCGCGCCCCTGCAGAAGGATATTAACCACTATTGCTGAAGGCACAATCACATTATCAGCACCATTCCCTCTCCCTTTCTCCCTCTCCTCCCCCCCAAAGATAAATTTTTTATGTTGCTATTTTCTTCTCTTTTGTATTTGGCATTCGATATTTACGTGATAAACTGCAGATCTGCTGCTAAATGGGCCCTGATACAACTTAATAAATACATAACAACATCCAGACTGCACCTTATTACTGCATCCCGGGCTGCCAGGGAGCCTGGGAGATAATGTCTGCTGAAGGGAAGTTAAGCCTTACTGTAGGGAAAATAGATACTTTCTTATTCTGGAATAATTAATGGCATGAAAGGAGCTGGCTGACAATCCTGTCTCTCCCTGTTTGCCTTTCTGAAGTGCACACACACACACACACACACACAGAGTGTTTCCCTCTCCCATTCCCTGTGTTGGAGCACCAAACTCCTCGGGATGCACAGGAAGGAAAACACGACTAACAGTTTGTTACTTGTCTCCCCTTGTCTGCTGTCTCAGCCAGGGAAAGCCTGGCGTTTGTGGGCTGAACTTTGGAAGGAAGTGTGTGTGGAGGTGCCCCCCTGACCTGAGGTGATTCAGGGAGCACAGCGAGACCAAACCCGGGGGCTGGACCTCACTGAGAGGGGACAGAGCACAAATGTGCAGGCAGGAGGGCACATCCCAGGTACAGACCTGTGAGGGAGGTAGCTCACCTTCATCTGAGTTGCACAAACCTTTCTCTGTTCTCATGGTTTAATATTTCTAAAGCTTTTTTTTTTCAAACTTCTAGTATCTTTAATTTTTTTTTCTTTGCACACAGAAAGCCATTTAACCCAGGTAACTGTGGATTGCATAGTGGAGAAAATACTCCCCCCACACATGCCAAGCACTGACCAACAGTCAGTGAGAATCATCACTCCAAGTCCTGGAAACACAGAATCATAGAATCCCAGAATTTTTTAGGTTGGAAGGGCCCTAAAAGATCATCCAGCCCCAACCTCCTGCCATGGGCAGGGAACCCCCCTCAGATCCTGTTTGGTCCCAGTGAAGTTATTTCTTAGGGTGTAGGTCCCCAGGCATCCCATTAACCAATGCTGGGATATCTTTTTATGGAAGTAGCATTTCCTTGTTTAATTCCTGATGATGAGACTGGTCAGAGAGTCAGTGTGAAGAATGAAGGTGACCTGTGAGGATTGTACATCTCTGACCCACACGATGTAACTTTAGTTCCTACACTGCACACAGGTGTGTTATTATCTCTCCAGGAAAAAAAGGAGAAATTATTCCAGAGTTTGTATCAACCACAGAAGAACATTTAAAGAAATACTTTAGCAATCTCTAAAATCTCCGTGTTTTTGATAGGAGCAGCTTTTCCTGTGATAACACAGGTGCAGAGGATGAATGCCTGCACTGACACACATCCACGCACGGACACATGGGGAGGCACATTCAGGAATCGTTCCTCTAATTTCCCCCTCCTTTCCTTTTCCAAAATGGCTGTCTTTTCTTTACCACAGTCTTTTCCAACTGTGTCCTAATTGCTGAAACCTCCAGCATAAAGTACCATCAACCAAAATGAAGCGAGGCAGACTCACACAAGCTGCAAAACTTTGCAACACAAAGCCACCGCACAAAGAGTTGGGCTCTATAGAAACCCCAGTGAATGCCAGGAGGAATCCCAGAAAACTTTGCACGATGCCTCAAAATGCACCCCAGGGATCCCGAGCTTGTTACCTCCTGACACCATCTCTGTAAAGGGAACGCTCCCAGGGCTCGGGTTCCCCCGGGGTCCTGCGCATTCAGCACCGGCCTTGGGGAGTTTCAGGTCTCACAAAGAAGACAACGAGGACCTTTGATTGCCCCGTTGAAGCTCCTGGTAAGCAGCAGGTCACCTCCCCGCAGCCCCTCTGAGCCTGGATGTGAAGGTATTTTCATCCCCGCTTGACAGGTGACTGTTTTACCAGACGGGGTTGTCAGTGCTGCTGGGGGTTATCTGGATTTAGCTGTAGGCAGGAACTAAACCACAATGAGCATTCAAAAAGCTCACTGTTCTTCGTTTGTTTAGAGACAAGCCATCTTAAACTTGTTTGAAGCCTTTTTTATTGAATTCACACTCTTGTGCCAAGCACTGAAAGATTTACTTTGGCTATTGCTGGAAGATGGAAAGCATATGAATGCGTGGCCGGCTGCCAGCTGCGGGTGAGCTCTGAAAGCTGCGCTACAATGGAGGGTTACAGGGAACAAATGTGAATGCAGCGGGCAGACGTGACTAAAGAGGGGCTCTGGCATTCAAAGAGCTGCCGGAGGTTTAATCCCGCGACTGAAGTAGGGTCAGGAGATAACACGTTCTAACCTGGAGAGCGTTTTCCCCGGGCGGCAGCTGAGGAGGGGCGAGCCACAGGTACCCACGTGCGCGGTGCCAGCTGCTCCCTCCCCTCCCGGCTCCTGCTCCTGCATCCTCCATCTGCAGAGCCGGAGACCCAGTTGGACTCATCCAAGGCAAGGTACCCCAATGGCTGTTGTGTGTCTCTTGCAGATGTTGCCGTAATTTTGTTGTGGTACAATTTGACGTACGACTCCCCGCTGCATCCGAAAGGGGCACATTATCTCAATTAATGTTTCACAGCAAACACGGCACTGATAGTATTCATGGGACTAAAGACTATTACCATTTGCATGGTGACTAGCACAAGAATTATGACTATGTGTGTTTTCTGCAGCAAAATTTGCCCTCGGGCTCCCTTTTTTTTTTTTTTTTTCCCCTTTTTGGCTTGTGACAATGTTCCCTTTTTCTTCCTCCTTCTGTTTTGATTTCTACTTAAAGTTTTATGGCTCTGTCCCCTCCAGGGTGCTATTATCTTGTATGCTAATAGGGCTATGCATATTCTATTAGCGTTGTCAGTGTGAGATAAGAGGCACATTCTGTAAGGAGCACTCAGGGGGTAATAATCCCAGCAAGGGGTCTCAGTGTTAGTACATTATCAGTCATCTTCACATTTCACTGGAGCCTGTTTATGCACCTCTTCAGCTGCGCAACTCAGACACTGAAAATTGCTGAATGTTTACGGAAACTGTTGTAGAGGAACATAATGGGGTTGGAGATTGACTTGATAAAGGAGCCTTCTCCCTTGTCGCTTCCAGATACAGGACGTTGGGAGCTGGACGCACTAAGTAGGATAATACGTTCTAGGGCAGTTAGCAGCTCAGGGCAGGGGCACGTCTGTGCTTCAAGCAGCGGAGCAGCTCTCTAGGAAAGGATCTGCCAAGGGTGCAAACAATTCCTATTCCCTCAGAGCTTTCTCTTTTTTCTCACCCTTCACCTGGGAACACCCGCTTCACATCGGCAGGAAGGCTGATGATCTTCACACTCTTTTGGGCTTGAACTTGAACAATTAGAAGCAAGTAGGGCCCATAGAAAGAAAATTAGCGACAGCACATGAAGGGCAAATGAGTAACTATTTGCAACTCTTTGGTAGTTAAAGGGCATTCCTGGGCTGCAGCAGCGGGCAGTGGTGTGTGAAATGGGTGTCATGCCAAGGTTCTCCTCGGCTGGTGTGGTTCCTGTGGTTGGATGCAACTGTTGTTTCTCCCGGGTCACTCGTGTTCCCACCAAGACTTGGCAATTTGAGGCCAGGAGTCCTGCTGGGGATGGACATCTGCCCTGCTCCCACCCTCCACTGGGGCATTTCATCATTGACAAAACAAATTTGGTCTCTTTTTCTACTCCTCTGACAGCACAGCTTTGAGGAAACCTCTCACAGTGTCGGATATTTTTAGTGGAACTCATAGGAGAGAAAGTAAAGGACAGTGTTAGGTCTTTGCATGTTATGTTAGAAATCAATGTACCTAAATGGCATTTTAATGGGGTTTCTGTGTATTTCTCAGTAATGGGGTTACTTCTGTTCCAGCAATAGTAGGGTATTTATTTGCTGTCTGACACCTGGATTATGATGGGACTCAGAGTTATCATTTAGTTGTGCAAAGGATGGGAAGAAAAAAGAGATTTTGTGCAATTCTTAGGTGGGATCTGTAATTAGGTCTAAAACTAGGGACTTTGTAATAAATTCAGTTCTTGATTTTGCATAATCAGGGAAAATTTAGGGAAAAGAATCTAATGGGGAAGAATAAAAAACAGAGGTGAGGAACTAACCTCATATTCAGAATGAAGGAACAAACAATTTCCAGAGACAGAGAACTTTTACGGTTCTAACAGTAAAACTTTTATTTTCTCTATGAAGTAGAACAGCAAACGCTGCCATGGGCAAAGCCTTTAGGAGAGCCTGAAAATGTCACTCAAGCCATGCAAATTCCTAAATGCAGAGGTGCCTGTTGGGTGATCTGAACTCCATTCCTGGGCAGCAGCAGCTGTGTGCTGGCTCCAGCAAGGAGAAAAGGGCTGCTTTGGATCACTTCTGCAGCCCTTCAGATTGCACATGGGTATGAACACTCACTCCTTACTTTAAAAATATTTGTCCTTGACATTTCCAGACACATGGCTCACACCAAATGTATGCAGCTCCATCTCCTGAGGGTCCTGAGATTAAAACCCCTGCTTTCTCACCTTGTGATCTGGCATTAATAGCTGATAGAAAAATCACATACGTGACTGACATCTTCCTAGAAATGTGAGCCTGTGGAATTAATGAATGCCATGCAGGAAAGCAGGGGTCAGTTTGGAAATAGGATTTCTGTTGCCCGCCATCCAGTCATGAACTGGACAATCTGCCGTTCATTTTTTCTGCTTTAGCATTGAGGAAAATTGGTCTGGAGAATAAAGCAGGGGGGAAATGAGCAGCTCTGCTCCTCTGGCCGCTGGAGGTTGATGGACTTGTGTAACTTGTGGAAATCAGGCTGACTCCTGTTTCTGTGCCCTTAGCACGTTCCTTGGCTGCTCAGTTCTTTATCCTGCTGTTTATCCGCGGGATAAATCTGGAAATCTGCAGATCCAGGGGCTTCTGTGGCTCGAGGGATTGAAGGTCAGACCCTGTGTGATGGTTGGGGTCAGTGGGGACACACTGGGCTGAGCCCCCACCCTCTGGGGAGGGTGTCCTCCCCCTGTCAGTGGGACAGGGAGAATTCCAGCCCAAAAACTCATCAGCTGTTTGAGACACCTGGGGGATGGGACATGGAAAACTCAGTCCTGGGGAATTTTAAATCTCTTTGAGCAGGGCAGTACAGGGATGTACCTCCTCTTGTGGTTTGGGGAACTCCTTTCCCCACAACAGTGGTAATATTTTTATTACTTGTTTTCTGCATTTTCTACTGCATCTGTCTCCAGATTTGTCAACACTGGTCTCGTCAGTGTGGTCAGGATGAATTGACATCAACATGCTGAAATAATGTTGTTCATAAAGGAAACAGCTCAGCCCCTGTACAACCTTTGTCACCAGCATGGATTTAAATTGCTACAAGTTATGAGCAACTAGTGATGATCTCCATTTAAAAAACTGCACTTTCCAGGAAGCTAAAACATTTCATCAAAGAAACAATGTCTTTCTGGGTAGTTTCAGCATGAGATAAAAACTTGGAAGCATTTTCTTTGGAGGAGACGGATTTCCTTTTCCCTTTCCCATCTTTCTGTTTATCTGTTTTCTGTCTGTTTTCAAGAGCAAATGAAAAAAAAAAGAGAGATGACAGATACAAAGGGAGCTGGATGAGAAAGAATTGAAAAGCTTTCAGTTACACTTTGTTTCTTAGTAGTAATTTGAACAGAAATACAAAAGTGCTGCACACCTTTCACTGGAGGGTGAGTGCAGGCAGCTCCACTGCCCCTGGGCTCTGCCACAATCATTCCTGTTGCTCCTGGGTGCACACTTTTGGCTTCCATGGGGAAAATGCAGAACTCCTGGGTCTGTCAGTAAGCCAGAAAACAAGTGCAAGAGGGGAAGAATGGCACTGCTGTCTTTTTGACATGTTATCAGAAAAAAAAAAACCTGTTCCCTGGTCCCTTTCTGCACCCCTGTTATCCATGGGCACTGGGTGGCATTAATGTGGGCAAGGGGAGCACATCTGGGCTCCCTCTAACTGGGTCCCTCCCTCTAGGTGTGTGTGAAGAAGGTTTAATTTAACAAGAATTAGGGTGTGTTCAGGTAAAGCAATTATTGTAAACAGACTTTCTTTCTAAAGGGTCAGAATTGCTGCACTGGTAAGAGGCAAAGGGACAAAACTGGTCAAATACCCCGGACAGACCCATCCAATGTTTTCTGAGAGTTTGTTATTGTTTTGAAGCAACTCCTGGCAGAAGAGCTCCCAAAACCTCAGGCTGGGGGTCTTTGGTGGTGCAGGAGAAGCTCTGAGCCCCCAGGGTGCCACAGCCAGGGAATGTCCAACTCCTCATGGAAATGAGCTGGGAATAACCCGGGGCTCGAGCCCTTCCTCCCCCAGAGCTGGGCAGGAGTCCCTGTGCTGGGGGACCTGGTGGGACCCCCGTTCCCTCCCTGCCCCAGAGCCATCCCACTGCCATCCCTGAGCACAGGAACATTGCACGGGCAGAAATGTGGAAGCAATTACTTTAAGAGCCGTCTTTTGGGCAATTCCCAAAGAGACATCAGACCCTGTATTTATGAAGCCTATTGCATCGGGCCCTAATGAAGCAATTAAGCAAAGGGTCCTCTGTGTTTGATCTAAATGTGGTAATTTTTACAAAAACATCGCCGAGTGATAGATACCCATAACTCAGAGTCCTTAATTGTACTTAATTTGTTTGGAATACGAATGTGCATTTAATTAAGCCGGGGCTTTGCCCACATGTTTAAAGAAGGGCTGTCAAGGAAAATTAAGGCCCAGTTTGTTTTCAAAGTTACTGGTTTTTATCAGGCCAGGACAGCGATCTTCGAACAGAAGGTTACAGATAATTAGGCAGAGACCTCAAGCCAAAAAAAAAAAAAAAAAATAAAATCCAGAGACACTGTACAGCTGAGAAAGCAGGAAGGGAAACCCCTTGATGAAGAAACATAAGAATGGGCTGTTCACGTAAGGAAAGTCATGCATGGCTGGGATTTGGTAAATGGGACCCGTTGGCTCGAATGTGGTTTGTGTTCTTGAACTCCAGCACTGGGGCCAGAGCCCGGTGGGGTCTGAGGGCAGAGGCAGCTGGTTCCAGGTCCAGGGCACACGGGGAGCCCGTGGCAGCACCGTGGGATGGGGAGGACACAAAGCATTCTGGCTGTTCAGTGCATTTCCAAACATAAAGACTGGCTGTGAGAGCTGGTTTTTAAACATCTCTCCCCCAAGCACGGAAATACAGGAGGTGCTTGTCATCCCCTTGGGAAGAATGTTAGTCTGGGCCATGGAAAGGGAGTTTATTCCTTGATGATGCTGAGCACCTGTGGATTTAAATCCGTTTTTTTGTTCTTTAGTGAAAAATTAAAGAACGCAGTTAAAAATTAATAATGCTTCAGCACGTGAAGAAAAGGTGATTTTTGATATTGAAAAATTGGTTTCTCAGTACAACAGCAAACAGAGTCCATGTGTAACCTCTGCTTTGGGGCTCCTCAAGAGTCACCCCCGGGCTGTCAGCTCCTCAACACGGGCGTTTTTAATGCCAGGGTGAGACATTTGTGTCAGGAGATCCCTCTGGAGGAAAACAGTCGTCGTGGTGTTACCTTGAAGTTTGAGCAGGCACAGAGAGAGGGGCTTGTCTTCAGAAAGGGGGTACATCTGAAGCAGAGCTGAAAACTGAGCTCAGATTCCCCACACTGAGGGAATGGAGGGTCTGACGGGGGAAAAATCGTGTTTTCTGGAGGGTTTTGATGGGCCACTGTGCTGATGACAAGGGCAGGGGCCTTTAATTGTGGATCACGAAACGTGTGGAGAATCAGGAGATTCTGAAACAAAAATTGGAACTTCTTCATAGTATTATCTCCTGATTCTGGAGAATTAACCAAGTCACTGCTAAATGAAGCTGGTGGCTCACTGTGGGATGGTACCTGCCCTTCTCCTCTTGGGTGGCTCAGTTGAAAAGCTGCCAAAACACCCAGAACAGCTTCAGCCCTAATTTAGTACAAAATTAGTCGACTTAAAACAAACAGAATAAAATCAAATAAATCCTATGGCATTACAGAACTCCCTTGGCTGGATCACCGTGTGCCTCACAAAGATTTATGGCACCTGTCACTGGAACAGGAGGAATGTCCAGCTCAGATGTAGCAGGGTCCTGCTGGCTCCTGACATGACAGGCATGTGAGAGTCTGGAGATCCCAAAATCAGATGCTAAAGGGGAAAAATGCTGTGGGAGAGCAGGAGGGTGCTGAGGGGTAGCAGGGAGGCAAAACAAAGGCAGGGAGGTGGTGAACTGTGGCAGTCCTGGGTGCCCTCAGCACCCCAAAGCCCTGAGGAGGAGGAAGAGGAAGAGGAGGAGGAGGAGGTCACTCGTGTTTGATGTATCTGCTGAGCACATTGAGCCAGTTTGCAAAGGCAGGCCCAGAACACAATTCTTCCCGTGGTAAATGAGTGTGTCAGCTGCTTCACCCTCTTACGGGTGTTTAAAATTTTTGCAGCAATAACAGAGAATTTGAAAGGACATCAGAGGTGGATTTACGGGACTCCTGGGAAATCAACTGTTTCCTGTTTCAACAGCTTCTTCATCATAACTTGCTTTCTCAGTCTCTGAATGATGTTCTATTAATCTTGGTGTGCAGTGATTACTGCTAAATGCAGAGCTGGGCTGAACCTCTATTTGTGAAATAACCTTTTTTTGTCTCTTCAGCGAGTCCAACGTGGTAAACTTTGGGCAGAGGTCTACTGACCAAGTGGGTAATTGTGTTCCAATGCATCCTGTGAATAATGCAGATAAAAAACCTCCAGTGAATAATTCATTTTGCCTCCACTCATTTTGAATTAGCCTATTCATGTATGTATCCTTTCCAGCCTGCCTGTCTCCTGTGTGTGTGCATGGATTTACATAGCAATGTTGTAATTCACAGGTACTTAAATATCAAAGCAATGGAGCTGCTACTCCCTGCATGTGTTCCTGACTATTCTGGGGGATTGCATATGTATAAGTAAGCATTATGTGCTGTACCATAAAATTCAGGGTTTGATTTGCAGATGAAACATGACACACTATTTGCTGCTGTGATGGCTATCTAGGATTAATATTAAAAAACTTGCAAATGAGGGCAGATCATTTTGGCCTGGCTATAAATTAAAGAACAAGTATTTTGGGTTATTCAGTGCTCAGGTGCCAGTTTTCTGCGAGGATGTGTGTTGCCAAAAATCAGATTACACTCACAACTTTCCTTTTACCTTGGCAGTGACTTCTGGATCCTCAGTCAAGCCAAGCCTGTGGGCAGGAGGAAGGACTTGCCTTTAGGGATGGTGTTCCCTGAGGAGTGTGGACAGCTCTGGAGGTGCCTGAGCATCACTGATAACCTGCCTGCAGCTCAGGAGAGGGTGTGGCATCTCCTTCACTGGAGGCATTCCAGAACAGTCTGGACACAGCCCTGTGCCACGTGCTCTGGGGTGACCCTGCTTGGGCAGGGAGGTGGGACCTTCCAACCTGACCCCCCCTGGGTTCTGTGAACATTTGCAGCAGGTTCATGTGAGCAGCAGAGGGAAGGAAGGAGCCTGTTCTCTGCTTGGGTCGGGTTTGTCCGAGGAGTTCTGAGGAGCCCCAGAGTTTGTGTGGACATCTCGACTGCTCATGGCTCTGCCCTGGCTCTGGAACAGGTACCACCCACATTTCAGACTGTTGGTGGGTGTGGGTGGACTCCTTGGTCAGGCTGCTTAGTTTCTGGGGAACGAGGTATCGTGACAGCCGGTGGGACTGACTCAGTGGTCAGGGCTCCATGGAAATTCCTGAGGGAATCTGTTCCCAGTGCGTTCCCCTGCCTCAGACAGCCAACAAGTTGTGAGGATGCAGCTCCTAATGAGGGCTGGCAGGGCAGATGGTTTATCTGTGACTGCCTGGGAGCTCCTGCTCTGCAGAGAGAGGCAGAACTCGTCGTGTCTCCTTGTCGTGGGCTTTTCTGTTTCCAGTCCATTACAGGTGACAGAGCCCATGAGGAGCCTGTCTGTCATCGGGGTCCCTGAGGGGAGAAACCTCATCCCTTCCTGTGCTCATACCACAGCTGTCTGCCCACGCTTTTCAGGTCATGCTGGGTGAGGAGAAACCCCCCTGGGAGCTGGATCCCAGCCCTGCCAAGCCCTGTCCCACCCCCCCTGCCTGGCACTTCACAGCCAACAGCAGCTCCAGGACAAACCTCTTCCCAAGTGGGGATGTTGGTACCAAAGATAAATCCCTGCCCATCGTTTTCTAAATGGGTCCAAAGAATATTTGTGCTGTGAACATCCCTGACCCACTGCTTGTGGGAGAACCACCCCAGCAAACATTGCTCTGGACCCACCACCCAGGAAAGAAAAAAGGAAGCAAACCCCTGACAGCTGTAGCCAGTTGTGAACTATTTTGTGCAGCCACATCTGGGGCATCTGCAGCTCCTTCAGTGGACAGAATCACACCCTTAATCCAGCCCAGGTCGACCTGCACGTGTGGTGGGAGCTGCTGCTCCCCCTGTGCAGCAGAGACAGCAAAGGGCAGATCTGCCCAGGGTTTGTCTGCAGCCAACAGGGACCTGCCAGGCCAGGCCAGGGGGATCTGAGGGCCAGAGTGACCTGTCTGTGACCACCAGAGATGCTGCAGCAGAGTGGGGGTGGATCATGGGGGTTTGCATCCCAAAGCATCCCTGTGACCAACTGAGACAGGACTAACACATCCCCATTTCACTGCTGCTGGATCTGTGGGCTGTGCACTGCTCTGAGCCCCAGCTCCAAGCAGAGCTGACCTCCTGTGCCTCTGCCAGCCTCCCAGTGCTACTCTCCAGTGCCCATTTATGAGGAACAAAGACAAGACAAACATATCTATCCACGTGTGTGTGTATCTGTATTTGTTTAAGTGTTCTCCCATATCACACTGGTGAGAGCTTCCCTTTCTCTGGCTCCATAATACCCCCTTTTTCCCTTCTTACAGTGATTCTAACTCAGTTTATTACAGTTCTCTGTCTGATATTCCAGAAATTATTTTTCTAGGGTTAATCCCTAACCCCCAGCAATACCACTGGGAAAGCTGTATGGCAGGCTTGAAATAGTTCCTACTTGGAGCAAGGAGCCTTTTCAAGTCTTTATTTATAATTCACGGATTGGAGAAACTGGAGCAACAATTTTGGGGTATAATGCATTACTCTGCCGTAGTTTTGTCTGACAGACCTGTGCTAATTACCCTGTGTGGGTTTGAGAGAGAGCCAAGAATGGGTTGTAGAAAAATGTGTATCACTAAAACTTAGGTCCCCGAAGCCAGAAGTAAAACAAACAGTGAGAGATCATTATCTGAAGCAGACCCTTGCTAGCCGGGTACAGAAAAAAGTCATTCCCATGTTTTGTGTTTCTTTTTTTTTTCCCCTTTAGATCCAAGCAGTATTTCTGTCTGTCTTTGGAAATACCTTGATTTTGTGCAGTCAGGGCAGACAGTGCAGTTATTCTCCTCCTCCTTGGAAGGCTCTGCTGTGGACTCTGTGTGGCCTTCAGTGAGTCACTTAACCTTCCTGTGCATCAGTTTACTCATTTGTAAAAGGAGTATTATAATAATAGACACCCCTGGGGGCTCTTCCAGATTTAAATAATTAATGTGGCTAAAGCAGTTTGTGAGCCTAGATTATAGGTGCTAAATAAAGGCAGTATATTAATATTTTTTCCTTATAGAAAGAGCAGAGCAATAGCATGGTAAGTGTTGGGTTTGAAGTTGGGAGTTAATGTGAGCACCAGAGTATGTTTTCATTTCTATGGTCCCAATTCAGCAGAGTTCTTAAACCCATTTTTAATTTTAAAATGCCCATTTTCCCCCCCAGTGTGCCAAGCTGTAAGAGCAGTGATGGAAGGGGAGGGTCAGCTGTGCACGTGGGTGTCTCTGTGTTTGTCCTCCTGCATTTGTGACCTCAGCAGGACCATCCTTGCCACAGGAAAACAACACTCAGGATGCCTCACCCGCCTTGCAAAATTCATCCAGGATGCAAATCAATAAATGTAACGGGAGAGAAACTACAAGCTGTGCATTTGCAGGGAGGGAGGAGGGTTTGTGGGATGGATGGAGGCTGCTGAGCATGACCTAATGCCTCAGGAAAAAACAGCAGCCCCAGACCTCAGCGTCCAACCAGTCTGAATATTGAACCAGAGGTCCTTGAGTAATTGTCCTTTCTTCACTCCGGGGGTGAAAAGGGTACATTAGACATTCACCAGCAGCAAATGGCACCTGACATCTCTTTAAGTGAAAGTCAGCTTGGAATTTTTTTTAATGGCCAAGCATAAATCTTTTAAATTATAAATCAATAAATAGTTAATTCAATAATAGGAATCTTTTAAATATTTAATGAGTCATATGCAGAATGGCTCTATAACTGGATGTTGATGGAACTGTGTCAAAGGAATTTGAATCAAACTTTTCTAAACTCCCCATATTAAAATAGTTATTGATTCAAACATAACCTATGAGGACTGTGGCAAAAGCAAGGGGGGGCTGGAGGGGCTTGGCATACATTTTCTCATCCAAGAAAACGTGAAACCAGCAGCTCATTTTTAATGATGGATTCTGGAGCTGTTCAGGTTGTCTTAATGCTCCTGCCACAAAAATGAGTGAGACCCTACACAGACAAGATTCTGTGTGTGCATATTCATTAGAATTCTGGTTTAATGGCAGCTGTGCTCTTAAATAAAAGCTGTGGCAGTTGCCCCTTGCTAAAGGGCTCTGTAACCAGCAGGGTTACCCAGACAGGGATGTCCTGAACTATCTCCATTGGAAACTGCCCAGAAGTTTAGATTTATTTACCAGAGTTTTCAGGTGAAGGACAGTGGGAGTTGTATCTATGGACACTGGAGCTGAATTTGCTCCTTCCTGATTTTCTCTGAGCAGATCTGTAGTCTGTGCTCCCTTATGAACTACATGCTGCTGTAACTCAACACCCCCCTTAATCACCCCAAATTGGAAGCATTTTGTGCTGAATCCTCAGCCCATGGTCAGTGCTCTGTTATTCCATGGCAGAGGTGGCATCTTCACACCTGGTACAGTCTGACCTTCACTTCCCAAATTGCCATCTGGTTCATCTCTTTCCAGGTGAAATGGTGGCAGGATGGTGCTGAGAACAGGCCGTGGGAGCTGCTCCTGTGGGGAAATCCAGACAGGTGAGGAAGGCACAGAGGGAGGAAGGAAGGAAGGAAGGCATTGCCTGCAGATTTGCTGAGATTGGTTTTGCAGTGTTGCTGAAGGACAGGTAAGTTTGCTC